ATCGCATTTTATTTTGTTTACGCTAATATTTTTTTTTTAAATAAATAAATTTTGCAAATTATCTTTTAGATTGATGATTTCTTTTACTTAGAAAAACTATTTACAGTTCACACTATTAATTTTATTTAACTACTAAAAGATTTTGATTGGTGAAAAAACTGTTCAGTGTTGTTAAAGCGTCTATTTCGTATTTACTACCCCCTAAAACAAAAAGAACAACACGTGTCAAGAATAGGATTTTAATTTCGTGAAATTATCTTTTATTATTTACGAAAAATTAATTAATATTAAGTTTTTATTAAAGTTTGCATTGAACCGCATGCGGCTCACGAGCTGCTATTTGTATAATATTATAGTATAATATTATACTAATTTTCCGTTACGAATGGGAAACCAGTAACATTAGCATTAAAACTTTACTTTAATATCTAAAATTTGATTTACGCCTGAATTGTGGTGAAGACGTTTTCATCCCGGTATTAATTCCGAAAGTGAAAATAGATACGCCGGAAGGGCACATTTAAAGAAGTTCGAAAACTTCTATATAGTAAGTTCTGCAAAAACTGCAAACTAGTTTTATAATCATTGTTAAGAATAACATAGTATGAAGGGACTCAGGGCCTTAAATTACAATAAATTGGTAAAATATTAACACTTAAGTGATGGCAGATAAAAAAATTTATAAGCATTTATGAGAAAAATGGCAATATTTTTTTTACTTTTTTTTGGCCCAAAATATAAAAAGATCCCGTGCGTTTTACTCGACTGCCGTCCCACAACTTTTTTTTGAGCAAAGTGTATTTTTATCTTTTTTATTTATTATTTTTTTTTTTTTTTCAGTTTACATTTATCACATGTCATATAAAATAAACTTGGCATTTGGAAGAAGATCATACTATCGCTAAAACCATATAAAAATTAAAATTAAACTTTGTTTGACAAAAAGATTTATTGAAAAAGCTTTTATTTCACAATCTATATTTATTCTTTGATTTAAGGGTGCATATATCTTTAAAAACATTTACTAATGGGTTATTCATACAAAAAAACGTAAAACATCAAGTATTATAAATGTTAAGTTTATAAACATTTAAAACATTCATATCTTTAAGTAAAGGTTTCGTATTTGAAAAACGATTTGAAAAACATATTTGGCGCATTGCATGCTTCTGATGCTGATAAAGACGTCGTAACTTACTTTTACCTGTACTTCCCTAGGCAATTTTTGGATATTCAATACAGCCATGAGTTTTAAATTATTTTTTTTTAAATACTTTTTAGCCTTATATAGGATTCCAATATTTTTGCAACTTTTTTTGATATATAATCAATATGAGTTTTCCATGACAGATTTTCATCAAGATAAATACCAAGGAACATAATAAAGGAAGCTTCTTTAATTTCTACTCTATAAATAAAAAGTTTAGACAAATCTTTCGGCAAAAGAAATTTTTTTGTTGAGAAACTAAAGAGAATCCATTTTATTTTGTCATTGTTTTAAATTAATTTATTGCATTTAAACCAAGTAGAAATTCGTATAAGTTCCTTATTCATATTTAAAAAAAAAGTCTGTTTATGTCTTTGTCTGATAAAAATAGAAATATGATGCTCATAAGATCAGAAGCTTTATTTAAATCTATACTAAAAAATATATACTAAAAAAAGGAGTGAACTAAGGATAGAACCCTGTGAAACACCACATTTTATTCCAACTAGTTTTTTATTTTTGAGACTAATAAAAAGTAGTTTATCCCCATAGTAGACAAATTGCTTCTTATTTGACAAGTAGCTTTTGCACCATTTTATCAATTTACGACTTATTCCGTAGAATTCAAGTTTTTTACGCAAAATATCGTGATTGACTGTGTCAAAAGCTTTTGATAAATCGATAAAAACTTTGGACATCACGGGTAAACTGAATGATGGCTTGTTCAGTTAAACTATTTTTTTAAAAGCCGAATTGGTTTTTATATAGTAAATCATTTGTAATCAAGAAATTGTATGTCTTTTGGTATATATTTTTTCTAAAATTTTTGAAAACATGGACAGGACAGAAATAGGGCGATAATTATAAAAATTTGACTTTTCACCGTCTTTGTGAACAGGGATAACTTTGGCGATTTTTAGTTGGTCAGGAAAAACCCCTTGTTGTATAGATGCTTTGAAGACTTTAAAAAGAATATCTTTCAAGTTTTCGTTGCAATCTATAATTATGTTTCCGTTTATTCCGTCCGCGCCGATTTTTGTTTCTTTTTAGAGATTTGAAGGCTCTTTTAAACTCTTCAATTGATAAATTTAGCAATAAATCATGGTGAAAAGGTGAGTTATTGGTAGATTTTTAAAAACAATGAAAGGAAATATCAGTAGAAGGAATACTATTAGCAAGTTTACTAACAATACCAGTAAAATATTTATTAAATTCATTTGCTATTTCATTTTGTTCAGATATACATGCGTTGTTTATTTTAATCATTTTTGGAAAGATATTTGAGCAGGTTCTTTGTTTTCCTTTTATTTCTTTTAATATTTTCCAAAAATGTTTTGAGTCATTTTTATTATTGTTATAGTAATTAGATTAGAGTAATAATTTTTTTGTTTAATTTATACAAATTTTTTCTAATAAAAGTTTACAGCTTTTGTAGATATGTAGATTTGAATTGGATTTTGTTTTTATTTTTGAATTGGATTTGTTTTAAAGTATTTTACATATTACTTTTGTTTCATTTTTAAAGATTCATTAAGATTTATTTTTTCAGAGAATGGAAAATTTGCATCGCACATTAAAGAATTCATTATAGATTACATTTATATCATCATTAAAGTTTATATGTTCCGTTCTAATGGAAATTTCCAATCTCATGTGTTACTATTCTAATCCCTTAACTTTTTATCTACTAGATATTTTGTCATACGATGCGCAGTTTTGAAAATATTTTAAATGCCCCGCTCTACCCTACATAATTTAACCTCGTTCTACCCATAGCAACAAAACTTATTTATATAACAAGAATTTAACTACTAATCTGTTATACAAATTGCGTAACTAAAAATATACAATAACCATTTTTTACCAATAATTTTATCTTTTTTCTTTACATTCAAATCTCTATCTACCAGATTACATCCATTTAGCACGCTATTTTACCATTACGTGTTAAATAGCCTATTTTCTTTTCATTAGTAATTATTTTTTTATTATTGTTAGGCCGGGTGAATAAAAAAAAAGCAATTTCTTGGATTAAGACTTCTTGGGGCCCCGGGCCAAATTGCACCATTTTATATATAAAATGGTGCAATTCTAATGATAAACCAGCATTAAACCAACAAGAATAGCTTTAAAATTAGCTTCATTAATATATAGTATAACAATGACATATATTTAATGCAAAATAAAAATAGTATAATTAAAAATGACATTCTAGATCACTAACATTTTTTTTTTCTAAATAATTGTTAATTTTAAAATAGTGTTTATACTAAAACAAACTTTTTTTAAACGTAATTTTAATGTAGCGAATGTTACATTCTGGTGCGAAATTAGCTAGCAACTAGCTAGCGACAGCTTGTAACGATAAAGACAGCGATTTGTCTAGGACGAATCACCTAAAAATTTTGCAAGGTTGTATTTTTATGTAGATGAGACTATCGGTTTGAGTTGTGAGGCTTGTTTTTAAATAATGTTTGTTTTTTATTTATAAACAATTCGTCTAGTTACAAAAAATGTTTGATATATATATATATATATATATATATATATATATATATATATATATATATATATATATATATATATGTTATGCTATTTCTAACAATCCACTTGACATAATAAAAAGCCTGCCGCGATCCATTAAGTTGGATGGATTAAGCCTGCCACATTATCAAGTGAAATTATTTTTAAGAATTCCATTCTTGTTTGTTAAGGAACATCTGGGTCGGGTATCAACCTAGACCCAATTTGTATATACGACTTTTTGTTTGGCTATCAACGGATCTTACCCGAATTCATACACGATTTAATTTACGGCCCCGCCCCGGCAATGCAAAAACAAAAACAATTGAGCGTTTGTGTGTTATTATGGTCACAAACAGTTAAGATGTAATTGAAGTAGTTTTTCTTAGCTTTCAATGATGAAAATAATTAAAAACTGAAGCAGTTGTCAGAGCAACAACAACAAAAAATAATAATATTAATAATAAGTATTCAATAGATTATTTATGTGGGGCCATCACAATCTAATTTGCAGCATCACAAAAAATGCCGCCCTGCATTTTTTCCTCGTAAAACATAGATTAAAATATTTAAAAAAAAAAAAAAAAAAAGCCAATAGAACTTTTTTTGCTTGTGCTCCTAGAAGACCTAACGGTCTTGTCACAGAATGCCGCTTTCTTGATAATGCCGCGAATACGGAGAGAACAGGAATCGAACCTCGTACCTCTTGATTTTAAGACTTTAACCAATTAAAGCAACTTTTATTTTTATCAGCATTTATGCCTAATAATAAAATGAGAAAACTTGTGTTTTAAATTTAAAAGTTTCTTTAAAAGTTCTGAAAGCCATTAGTCAAAATAATGCTCGTCTTTTTGGATATTATAAGGCCAATGCCCGACCCGTTTGGTTACGGGTCTAACAGGTCTGGGTCTGGCGGGCTTTAGATCCACAATAACGAGACCCGTTATATAATAACGAAGTTCAGAGTACTTTTATACTTTTTTTTAAAAAGTAACTCGTTACCAAGTAAAAAAGGTATGAAACGTAACGAAAGTAAAAGTACTACGATTGTAAAGATAAGTTACATTTACGATTTAATGTAAGTTACAATACGAGTTACATTTATGTAACTTGTTAAATACAATAGTACTGCAAAAAGTAATGAAGTATTGTAAATAAGTAAATTTACTTCGTTACATCCCAATCCTACACGTATTAAATGTTTTTAATAAATTTATTGCAACAATGTAAATCATAAAATCGGTAAAAAAAAAAAAAAAAAAAAAAGCAGTCAAATATACAGCAACCTTAGAATCATACGAGGTAACTACAACTGAAGTTGCCAAAAAAAAATTACAAATGTTAAAAGATACAATAAACTCAGAGTTTTAACAGTCTAACTTGCTGCTTAGACACCAATAGTCCTATTTTAAGACACTTACACGATATATGCACAATATATTGGCGTAATAAAATATTTATGTTCACATTTTTAATATATTTATATTTATATATATATACTATATACACACTCACAAAAATAGAATGAAATAATGATATCTAAGAGATTACAGATATTCACCTTCAGACTCAAAAAAAAAAAAAAATCGTAAAAAAAAACCTTGTTAAATGGAAAGCGTTTTTTTAAATGCATCAAAAATAAGTTATGAGTTAATAAAAAAATCACAACAATCCACTTTGATTAAACTATACATAATCAACACCATAAATTGTAAACGGTAAACGTCAACAGAATGTCTTTTTTACCCGTTTGCCTGTTCAATATATATATATATATATATATATATATATATATATATATATATATATATATATATATATATATATATATATATATATATATATATATATATATATATATATGCATACATACAAACAAACAACTTAAACATCCTTTAAGCATCCAAAAGCGTTAAGAAGTTCACAAAACAAAAAAAGCTCTGTAATTCAAAGATTATATCACGGTTAAAATAGTAGATGTTCAAATGTGAAGAAATTTTTAAAGCATCTTACAGCTCTAGAAGAAAACCTATCATCAGGAAGTTGAGTCGTCTAAAAAATAAAAAAACAAATTAAAAACAACAATTTTTTTCTTAATAAAACAAGATTAAAATCAAGAACTAATTTAATAAACTATCACCGGTTAAAGATTTTGATTTCAAAGGCATCCAAATCCGAACGGTTCCGTCATCGCTTGCAGATGCAAGCATACCGGGATTTGTAGGATTCCAATGCACGCAGTTAACGGTGCCAGTGTGACCGTGCAAAGTTAGTATAGGAGTTTCTTTTGTGTGATGCCAGATATATACAGTGTTATCTATATATAGAAAAAAACTGAAAATTATTGTTTAGAATTTTAATTATACTGCAAATAGACTTAATATTATTTATAGACAATAAAAACTTTTTTTGCAGCAGTAATTTTCTAATTATTACCTTGATAATAATTAGGAAATATTTTTTCCATTCGACTAAGAGGTCCAAAAAGTTATGGCTTTTTTTTATTATTTTATCTAGAGTACCATTGGAGAGTGAGTGGAACTTGGTTGGAGGCTGGGTGGTGGGTGGACGTGGGAACATTATTATAATTTTTTCTATAGTGTTCAAAATACTACTAAAAATATATAATTAAAAAATTAATAAATCATTACAATAACTATTAGGCTCAACGCCACCTCTAAGCGCTAATTTTTTCAAAAAACTATATTTGTTGATAAACTATAATAAGTGTTGTTACAGATTTTGAAGAACACAGTAAAAAAACTTTTAGTTCCTCAGAAAAGTAAATATAGATGATTGCAATTACTTTAAACTTTGAATTCAAAATAACCATTGCAGTTTTTTGAAAATTTTAAAACTGAAGACAAAAAAATTCAAGTCTAAATTTTAGTATGGACCTAATTTCGAGACAATTTTGCAAAGAAAGTAAAATTTCTGTTAACAAATGAGGAGATTCTTTTTTTTTTGTAATTTCAAACTCAATCTTAGAAAGAGTTCATTATTTATTCAAACTCCAAGCTCTTAGTATCTATATCCCTGATGCTACCAATTTCTTGTGCTGTTATTAATGCTGACAATGTTTAGTTTATATACTTTTAATATTTCAAGGTATAACAATTAAATTTGTATTTGGAAGAGCAGCTACAATTTCATCTTTTTTTATTATCAATAATACTCTAAGATTTAATAATATGATGATTGAACCTTCAAAACTTTCCTCGCCACTTTAAGCAAAGTGAACATTGAACCTTCAACTATTAAGTAAAGTGAACATTGAACCTTCAACTATTAAGTAAAGTGAACACTGAACCTTCAACTATTAAGTAAAGTGAACATTTAACTTTCAACAATTAATTAATGTGAACATTGACCTTTAACACTTATTTCACCATTACCATCAAGTAAAAGATCTAGAACGTCATATCTGTAATATCTGTAAATCTTTTTTTTTTTGTATATCAAATTTTACAAAATGTTGTGTGAAGAATCTAGGAGTAAGATGAACAAACATTTTGAAATAAGATTCCATAAACTTTACACTGAGTTTGAAAATATGAAAAAGAAAGTATGAAAAAGATTGAGCTTTATCGAGCATAAAAACTTGATAAACTACTAGGTGAGTCACTTGATAAACTAGTAGGTGAGTCAGTTATGAAAAATAGATTTTCATTGAAATTAAAAAAAGTTAAAAATAAAACAACATAAAATAACATTGATCATATATCAAATTCACATTAGAGTATGATTTAAAAGAAAATGAAAATTGAACCTTAATTTAACATTAAAGTATTAAAGAAAAAAAGGAACATTAAACATTAATTTATCATTAACATAAGCACATACTAACATATTAATATATGCATTTAATAAGATAATATGGTAATAATAATATCGTGAGTTTATGTGATACAATTAATTATTATCATTACTTATTAATATTAAACAAACAACTCGTAAATCTGCTGTAAAATAATGAACTTATATATTATTGTATTTTATACAGATACAGGGTCATCACAAAGTCTGATACAGAATTATCACCAATGTAAATTCAGTTACAAGATCATCACAAATCTAGATAAAGAATCATCAAAAATCTAGATACAGGATTATTACAAATGCAAATACAGGATAATCACCTATCCAGTTACAGAATGATGAGCAGCCGTAGCGCAGTGATTAGTGCCATTGGCTCAGAAGCCATCAGAATCATCTATGATAATGTTTCGCACATAGACATAGAGTCAACTTTTAAAGATATTTTATAATTTTATGTTTATAAAATATAAAGATATTTTATAATTTTATGTTTATAATATTAACTATTATAACCAATATTAACATTATAACTATTATATTATCAACTAAATTAATTATTCACTATTATTATTAAATATTATAACCAACAATAACCACTATCAGAGTAGATTTACTAATATTTGAATAATTATTTAAAAATACATTACTGCAATTTTAATTAGAATATTTTTATAGATTGCAATTTTTTTTGTTATTCACCTCCCAAGGCTGAGAAAGCCACTACAGTTGAGGAGACTACCTTATGGTCACAACCCTCTCTCAAATCCAAAACACAAACCTTTATAAAGACCAATGCACATAGAAACAAGTATGAAATAAATCAATAAATATAGATTTGACATGAAATTTTTTTTACTATTACAATTTTAAATTATGTTTAAAAATCTTTTTCAAATTAATTTGAAATCTTTTTTTATAAATTATTAAATAACAATATAAAATATATTTTAAATAAAGCTAAATTTGACAATTATACTAATTTTTAACACTATTAAACAAAACAAAAAAAATTTAACAGATATAAAATAAAAATAAAACCCAAAAAACCCCAATTAACCCAAAATTACCCACTGGGCTGGGTTTATTTCTTAAAAACCAGGTTTTTGCCAACCCTGACTATGCAGGAGAAAAACATACAGCCTACAAGTTGTTTATGCGACAGATTGCTCCTAATATTATGACCAAACCTGATTTAAGTGATCGATCAACTGTAAAACTAGCAGCCAAAGTAAATATTTAACAATTGTAAAATGTTAAGGAATGTTAGTCTGCTCAGTTTCAAAACCAACTGTCTGAAACTACTAGTTAATTTTAAACAATAACACAAATCAATAACACCATCTTTATTCACCAATCAATAACACCAGTTATCTTCAAGTCTTTTCAAATCCTGTCTTTTCAATCAACAATTTAACTAGCTTTATGGCTCTCTATAAAAGAACCACTAATCACATCAAGCATTAAATAAATTCTTAATAGACCTTAATCCACTGCAACTTATGTTTTCCATGGTAATTCTTGTCAAAAGTGAACTAAGATAGTTCATTTTTCTAGAACATACAGGAGACTGATCTTATGTAAAGTCTAAAGAGTGAAGAAGCTTCTTATCAAGCAAAACATCAAAAAGATGACACTATTGCTTTGGCAAAAAGAGTAATGTACAATACCTTGAAAGTACTTTTATATCGAAAAAAATTTGTTATAAATATTTATAATTATGTACGCCTTCTTCTTGGTTTTAACTTTACTTATTATTATTTATTTATTATTTATTATTTTTTACTTATTATTTATTGGTTTACATTTTATTGGTTTTAACTTTACTTATACTTGAAATTTTCTTCTTTATTCTTCTTGGTTAAAACTCCCGACAATTCCTTTCATAATTCCTTTCATATATATATATATATATATATATATATATATATATATATATATATATATATATATATATATATATATATATATATATATATATAAATGGATAAATACTAAATATATACTATAAATGGATACTCTTGTTTGGAGATTCCATTCGAAAAATTAATGACGAGGGATCACATCTGGTATTTGCTACATGATAGTAAATCGATGTGTAAAAATTCAAAAGTTCACTTTCAAAATTCTAATATTTGCTTTAGACTGGTATGAAAACTAGTTTTTTTATCCATTTTTTTTTTATAATAAATATTGTTAATAAAAATGTATTTTTAATCCATAAAAAGATTTTATTTTACAGAAAAATTAGGTATATTAATATGTGAATCAAATATCATAAATATCAGATAAATCGCTTTTCTGGTGGCGGAAAACAATATCTTGCACTCTAAGCCAATCGTTTCGGCATATTATGATAGATATTTTGCAGTTTAACATATTTTAAGTTTGTATAAATGAAAAGGTTAGAGCATGTGTGATATATTACAACATTGATGGTTACAGTCATTTAATGAAGACTTTACTAATGTTAATAGATGTTTTCCATGTTATTAATATAACACATAGTTTACATTAAGCAAGCCTCACTGTATAAATTTGCAAGGTGGGAATTTAAAAATTATCAAATTCTTTACTTAAACACTGTTTGAGGGATAATAAAGTATCATGCTATTGACAGTCAGCATGTATAAATTATCAAACTTATTGAAAATTTGTTGATTACTAAACATCAAGTTACAAAATCAGATAAATAATTATTTTTTAAACAATGGTGGTTGTTAATTTTTTTTAATGATATTTATTTATATAATAATATTTCTATAATAATTTTTTTTTTAAACGATGATGGTTGTTTATTTTATGTATAACAACATTTATTTATAAAATAATATTTATATAATAATTTTTTTTTTAAACGATGGTGGTTGTTTATTTTATATATAACAACATTTATTTATAAAATAATATTTATATAATATTATTTATTTATATTACTAACTAAAAAAACCATTGATAATAATATTGTAAATGTATTTAAACATTTCACATTGTATTTGAACATTTTATGACATTTGACATTTTGAAACTTACATTGCATTTATTCATAAATATTGCAATGATAGCATATTCATATATATTGCAATGATATAATATCTAATATAACTGTAGGACCACAAGTCTCTAAAGGACCTTCAAAACCAATCAAGAAATAAATGAAAAATCATGAAAAACTACTGGTTATATTGTTAATAAAAATTAAACAGTAAGTCAAAGCAAGCAAGCATAGAACTAATCATTAGTATTTATTTGAAATTTTTGAATAATGTTAAAGAATATTGTTTGAAATCTTTATCCATACATGTTCCATGTGCTTTCAAAGTATGACTAACCACATCTAATTAAATAGTACTTTTATATGTTGTAAGTTCTTGTAAGAAATTAAAAAAATTGGTGAAAAAACGGTATTTCACAGTGCAACTTCAGCGGCCAAAAGACTCAATGTTTCCCAGCAATATTTATTCAAAACTATCAACAAAAAGACGAGCATTTGATTTCGTAAAAAAACTAAAGTGCCAAAAAGAACATTGGCTCAGAAAGCTGCTGTGCATCCTAAGTATCTAAAATTAGTTGCACTTTTCCATAAAAAATTTGTGATAATTGACGACGAATCTTATTTTCCTATGTGCAACAAGCAGCTTTCTGGCAACAAAAGAAATTATAGTTCTGATCCCGACACAACTCCTAATGAGGTTAAGCTCAAAAGAAAAAGCAAATATGAGGCAAAAATATTAGTTTGGATAAACTTTTCAGAGAAAGGGGTCTCAAAGCATTACATAGCTCCTTCAGGTCAAGCAGTCAAAAAAGATGTGTACATTTCCAAATGCCTGGTTAAATCAAAGAAATTCATTAACAAGGCTCATAAAAATGACAAAATTGTGTTCTGACCTGATCTAGCCTTCGCACACTATTCAAACTAAGTACAAAATTACCTAAAAGGCAAAAAAATCAAATATGTGCTGAGAGACATAAACCCTGCTAATGTGCCCGAATTGTGCCCGATCGAGGATTTTTGGAGTGAAATTAAAAAATTGGTGTATGCAGGCAATTGACAAGCTAAAAACCTAAACCACCTAAGAAATCGAATCAAGTATTGTATGGAAAAAATCGATCAAATTTGGAAACATAGGTTTGGGGCAAGTACCTTTACAAGAGTTGAGACATAGTTGCAAAGTAGTAAGGAGTATATGAAGATCATTATGCATTATGTACCTTTACCATATAATACCCTTTGTCTTATAATATCCACACATTATCTACCTAAAAATTATAAAAATATTATCAATCTAATTGAAGTTTTTTTTATGTAACACATGATAGCAAACTCATTTATTACACAGATAACGCAAATACATGATAGCAAACTCATTTATTACACAGAAATTGCAATCAATAAATCAATGTCAAAAAGTGATAGAAATTAACTTATTAAAGACTCCGTAAAACTTGTTGCTGTTGTTGGTCAAAGCTCAAGATACGATTTTTATTTTTAAACAGATTTGAATTACAGAAAAAAAAAAAAGTTTCCAATTTTATTATCAAAGCATAATTTGGATCCAAGTTGATTGAATAAAATAAAATACTGACAGCAAATTTTTAATTAACAAGTATGAAATATAACTACTAAACTTTAATAAAATATTTTATTTTGCTGTTATTTTAATTTGTATAACTATAAATATTTGTAGTAGCAGATAAGGATTAAAATAAACCTGTTTTTTCTTAATATAGCAATCAAAAATATTGTGTTTATTTACTAATAATAAAACTTTTAAACACTTTTACCTGAGTACTTAGATTATTTTTGTTATTAATAATTTATCACACATCAAATTTTGAAAAATGTTGGAGAAACATCTTAGAAAATAAACAAAATATAAAAACAACACATTGTGGCGCTATTTAGGATAGGAGAAAACGCAACAATTATTCACTATATTATTATATAAAATTGTGTCAACCCTAGAAGAAAAAGAGTTATAGAATAAATACTATTAAAATTAAATGACATCAACAAAGTTACCATAAAAGCATCTAAAATTTCTGTGAATAACCCTTCCCTATTTGAACTTAAGTAAAATCACCTTTTCAATCATATTTCAAATTTTAAACTAACCTTCACTTCCACTAGCAATAAAATCATCATTAGCACCACCAAAACAAGAGTGAATTATGAATGAACCATACACAACGCCTCGAAATCTTCGAACTAGCATCTTGCACTTGACGTCCCAAAGATTTACTCCCTAAAAATTATTTTACAATTCAAATATTTTATTGTTTATTTTTACTTGTTAAAAGTTGTTGTTTAACAACTTCTAACAAGTAAAAATAAATAAAGTAAAAACAAATTGAATAAATAATAATATTGCCCATTTTTAATTGTAACAAGTCATTGTTGATCAACTAAATAAACTTTGAATGAATGGAATTTCAATTGCAATTCTTTTGCTTCATAACTTAAAAATTTTACCATAAATATTGCTGATATTGCTTTTAAACAACAACTTCTAGGGATTGTTAATGAACATTTTTAAAATATAAAACAAATGCTTTACTTTAAGGCAATTTAAATGACACTATTGAAATTACTGCCTGTTTAAATAATGATAATCATATTTGAAAAAATGTTCATTAGAAATAAAGAAAAAAAGTTTTTCTAACTGAACTTTTTTTTTTACTTGTATTGAATTAAAATTTTTTTTTTACTTGTTTTTCTAAGTTAAACGGTATTTTCGGTCTTAAGTTTACAATCCTTTTGTCAGACTTAAAACTTTTCAGCTTATTTTATTTTTCAGACTAACAGCTTTTATACATAATTGCTAAAAATTAAATAAACAGTTAAAATAGGATAGTATTTGATAAAGTTGTTGTCGGTGTAATGTAAGTTAACCATGGAACCCACCATATGTGTATATACATATATACATACATATATATAATATTTGAACAACAATAAATACAAATTCTCTCAATACTAATTTTACACACACACACACACACATATATATACATACATATATATATATATATATATATATATATATATATATATATATATATATATATATATATATTTATATATATATATATATATATATATATTTATATATATATATATATATATATATATATATATATATATATATATATATATATATATATATATATATATATATATATATATATATATATATATATATATATATATATATATATATATATATATATATTGATATAGGAAAATAAAAAAACAAAAAAAAAATTTTTAAAAATAAGTTATGACAATCAAAGTAACAAAACTCTAGACTAGCAAAACTTTTATATTTTGCAAGTAGATGGGGCAAAACAGGACAGTTAAAAAGCAGTTATTCTTCAATTGTAAAGCTTTTAAAATAATGAAAAATGAAGGATATCTATCGCCTAAATATATTCAGACATTAAAAGTAACATACTCATAGAAACTACACGCCCATACACCCATACACCACAAAAGAAACAAATAACAGCTATAATCCTTTGTTGCTGTATCGCTTAAGAAAATACACAAACTTTATTTTTCGCAAACTTACTGATGCATTTTGGTACCATAAATGCATTTCTGTATTTCTAAAATTAATTTTTTTTTTACAATAATGAAGCAAAATAATTTAAAATGTTTTATTTAAAAATTTTTTTGAAAAACAATTTATTTTAGCTGAGATATAAAGCTTTAGGCATAACTGTCCCGCTGTCCCGATATGCTCAGCTCTACCCTATCTGAAGATATTGTTGGCTCAGCATAGGAACATCCAAATAATAATCATTTGGACTAATCCAGTAGCGCCAGTAGTATTTGGACTAATCCAGTAGCGTCGTTACAGTGCTCAAAATAAAGGCCGATCAATGATCAGCTATTTTTAAGGAAATTTCAAAATATTCAAGGGAAAATAACCTATTTTTGTGAAAAAATTACATTTGATCGGCAAGCTTTGAAAAACTATTTTGAGCGCTGCTGTTATTGATCAATATTTTTGTGTATTGAAGTACTACTCAAGCACTGAGGTGGTGGTGGCAGGATTTGAACTTATATGGCACAACAGTCTGGGTTTTAACTTTTCAATTGACGCTTTAACCAACTGAGCCAGCCACAAATATATGTGTATATGTATATATATGTATATATATATATATATGCATATATATGTATATATACATATGCATATATATATATGTATATATATATATATATATATATATATATATATATATATATATATATATATATATATATATATATATATATATATATATATATATATATATATATATGTATAAATATATTTGTATATATATACATATTATACAAATTATATAATGTCCTAACATAAATTAGGACATAGTATATTATGAAGATAAAAAGAAAAAATAATAAAATATAATGAAAACATTATTAAACATACTTGATTTGATATATTTAAAATTACTTTTGAATTGTCTTTAGATGCTGTAAATGACATAATTGCATGAGATTCTTGCAATCTAATAAAAAAGAAAATAATAAAAATGTAAAATACTACTAATAATATAAATAATCAAAAGTAATTAATAGAAAAAAGAAATTTAATTAAAAAAATAATTAAATAATTAGTTACTATTACTTTTAACTTCCTAATATTACTTTTACAATAATAAACTATCATGTATTTGTAACAATCAACTATTATATATTTGTAATAATCAACTATTATATATTTGTAGTAATCAACTTATGTTTATAATAATTATACTTTTTATTAATCAACACAATAATTTATAATTATTTATAATAATTATATTTTTTAATAATCAACATATTTTTTTAAAACCAACTATTAAAACTATAACAATTAGTTTATTTTTAATATTTTCAAATTACAATTATTTAATTTAAATAAAGCTAATTATTTTCAAATTTAAATATTTAACCCAGCTAATTATTAAAAATGCACAATTTGTGCAACTTAGGCTTTTAGGTACTTAAATTAATGCTTTAAATTTATAAACAAAAACATAAGATGTTTTAAATGAACTATCATCAAAAAAACTTTAAATGAAATAAAATTTTTCATAAAAGAAAAAAACTTTTTGCATTGAACAAAATGTATTTTCACAATTAAAAGTTTTTGTTTTGCTTTTATAACATAGCTAATTTTTATAATTTTCTTTTTTATTTGGAAAAGTGCAGAATACCACATTAAATACTTTAAACAAGCCATGGCTGAATTTTAATAAAATTTAATTAAAACCATACTGTGCAGTCAATAACACAGAGTCAATTTTTCTAAGTTGTATCATATAGTATTTTTCTAGCTGATAAAATTAAAATATTTTATTAGAAATTAAAACAAGATTAATCTACAAGTTCTGAATAAAGTACTTTAATATTTAATTACTTATTTAATGACTCGGCTGATGGAGTTCTTGTAATTGCAGTAAGTGGTAGAACACTCACTTAGTAAGTGAGAAGTTTGAGTTTGATCCCAACCAAGTCCTTGGTAATACAGTGCTCAACTGCTTCTCCAAGCAATAGCCAATAGCTTTGTTCATTAGAGTTTGTAATTTGTAGTTAAAGGGTGGTGGGACAGTTGCAACAACAACAACAACAACAACAACAAAAATAAATAGCCTTAACTTTAGTGGCACCCTATACCTAGAGGTGAATACAGTGTTAAAACTGCATTCAGTATATAATAAACTGTTTCATAAAATGTCCTTGTTAATAGAAGTGCTCATATTTCCTTCTATCTTGAAACTCCTTGTGCAGAGAAACTCCTTCCACCATATTTTACAGATGGACCTTGGTAACAAAATTCATTATCGTGCAAATAGGATGTCATAAATATAGCCTGCCATCGCTTTAAAAAAATTCAATTTGTCTGAGAAAACTACTTATTTTTAATCTTGAATTGTTTATTGTGACCCTTGGCAAACTGTAATTGGCCCTTCTTTTTTTTCTTACTGATAAATGGATTTTAATACCAATACAAATTTATTACTATCATTTACGTTTGATTTACCTATTGATAACAGTGAAGTAATTTCACTGTTATCAATAGGTAAGTGAAGTAATTTCAATAAGACTTTCCTTTTTTTTTTTAAATTTGATGACTCTCTATCACAAATTGGAATTTGTGTATGCCAAGCCATGTTTATGCTTCGACATCCTATGAACTAAATGTAAACATTCAAACTTGTTTTTGAACATTGTACTCCTTAAATGTATATTATGTGACCTGAAACTTTTGAACATGTAAAAATAACAAATATAATGAATACATTCACAAATATAAATAATATTCCTTTACTATATGATTTTATTTCCAATTTTTCATAATAACATCCCCTAATGATAAAAAACCGAGTAAAAAAAAAAAAAAGTAAAAATGTTACTGGTTGGAAACTTCTGCCTTGGTTTTTTTGCAACTGTTTGGGACACCCCTTCAACCTATTAGGCCTGCCAAATGATTAATTCTTGCAAGACTTCATCTTTCTACTCCAGCTTTAAGAAAAAGCACATTAATCTTCCATTTTCTCTATAATGATGGCAATCTATGTCATTGCAATAACTTATCCTGTCTTTAGTGATACTAATTATATTTTAAACAAACTATTTGAACTATTTTGATTATTTTATTTTAGATCAAATTGATTTCAGCATCTCACTAACTAAATTTTAAAACAATTGAGAAAGCAGCATAAATTTGATCAAAAATGTGATACAAATGACACTGAAAAAGTATGCAACTGAAAAAATATTAAAAAATAAACTTTAATTGGTTACTCCTGAAAAAAACCAAAACTGCTCTTCTGAAGCTCAAAGTCAGCAAGTTAAGGAATTTATAAAAGAATTGGATTTGTTTTTTGATATTTTTTATGCTGATTATCAAAATAAAAGTTCAGGATTTTCTTAAAGATCAGCGTCAGAAAATTGTATACTTTAAGATATAAAAATGACAAAAAAAAAACATGAGAGGGTCCAAAAGCAACAAAGAAAAGCTAAAGAATGATGACAGAAACTTATGATTGCTACAACTTATGAAGCATTCAAAGAATTATGTTTATATCTGATAGATGATAGTGAAAGCTCACCAAACTCAAGTGATTCTAATGATGTATCTAAGTCATTAAACAGTAGTGTTTGAATTCAAAGAAACAGATAACTTATCAACTGCAATAACTAGTAGTATTACCACTAGCAAACTCTTTATATCTAAAGTCACAAGTGCTTTAAATTAAAGCAACACATCCATCAGAAAAACTGAGACTGATGATTCCAATAGCTGCAGTACTTGAATATTATCCTTTCATCCATCTGCTGTCATGGAAACTGTGCACAAAAAGCAAAGGAAAGTAAGAGTTGAGTTTGCTGAACTGCTGATTTTTTTCTTCCTGTTGCTAAGTAGTTTATTAATTTTTGGTGTAGTTACATTTTTTACAATGTTTTATTCATTCAATTCTTCAAAAAATGCCTCTATTTTATAAACTAAATATTATGAGCTATATATATTTAAAAAGCAAAAATCAGTCATTCATCTTTCTATCAACACATATACCATGAAACTGAATAAGGTTTGTACAGTTTTGTAAATGACTCAATAGTCAAGCATTATTTAATTAAAGCTTACTTATGTAGTAATAATGTACTTATATAGTAATAATGTACTTATGTAGTATATACTAATATCAAGATATTTATGAGTTCTTTTGTGGTGAAGGACTAAAAATCATGTAATTTATGTTTATATACTGATTTCTATAACATATATAATATATTTATATAAATTTAAACTAAGCATGGTGATCAAATTATAATTACAAAAAATCAAAACATAACAGCTTGAGCAAAAAAGACTTGTAACTATTAGAAAAGTTACTTATATTACATTTGAATAAAACATTATATAAGTAGATTTTTTACATAGAGATGTATATATGATGGATGGTTAAGCACAACAAAGTTTAAAAAAAAATTAGTTTATATTAAAATTAAAAAATGATTTATATAATGATTCATAATCATGATATAAATCATTTATAAATCATTATATAAATGATTTATATAATGATTTATAAATGAAATTTTTATGTGCACAGAACTCCAACTACTTTTATTTTTTTGGTTTAGTGGCTTTTGTTAAGAGCTTTTAAATTTTGCGCCAAATTATCTTATTTCAACATATTTGTTGTATGATCCATACTGCAACCGTTTTTCAAAACGCATAAAGGTTAAAAAAAATCGATTTTGATTTTTTTACAAAATAAGCTAGTTTAAGATGTCTACAAACATTATTGAATACATATTTTTAAAGAGTACTGAAAAAATTCCTAAAACTTATTGGTTTTAAAAAACATTTTACAAAGAGTTTCTCCTAACAATTTTTTTTTAATTGCGTTTTTCTTGATATACTTAATAAGCATATTAAAGCATTTTGACAAATACTTGCAGCATATATTTATAGTAAAAAAGTAAATGTATCAAAATAAACCTTTAATTGTCAAAAGAAAGTTTTAATGTTTTATCTAGCTATAGGCTTTTTTTTTTTTTTTTTTTGCCTCCACATCAGCACCTTCTTGAGTAGCAGGACTTTTTTATTAAGTTTTTTCTTTATTAAGTTTACGAAAATTTTTTTTTCATACCATCAGCAGCTTATTAGGACTAATTACCTGAGCACATTAATAACATAAGTATCTCAATCATGACACATACGCAACAAATTTTTTTCTCCGGGTGATGTTTTTTTTTATGTTTTATGAAATTTTAGCTTTCTTAAAATCTTTTCTTTTGTAAAAGTGTTTATTATCGTTACATATGTTTTTATAAAATCTCTATAAAACATCAAAAGTATTTTGTATTTTAAAATAATCAAAAAAAATTAAAAAAAAAAAAAGTCGCTAGTTGTAGGAATCGAACCTCGGCTTACTTGTTCAGAAGCTCGGCACCTTATCCACTCGGCCACACTGGCACATTCTCAAGCTAATATTTTTTAAATAATATAATGACTTTTTATTAAATTACGGAGAGCTTGATGCAATGCAATTTTCAAGTGAAAATTAAACTGTAAAACTTATAAATGTTTCAGTATGTTTTAACACATGTTTAACATTACTTAATTTAAAAGTTTGCGTACATTAGATAATTGGATACACATTCGTTCATGCTTTCTTATAAAACAAAGCTGCTGCAACTCTTTCTCGCCATTACCTCGCTTGCAATGGCTGCCAAAGGTACCGTGTCAAATAGACTCGAAAGTGCACTACAACTACTGTTAAGTTCATTATTATTAAATAGATTACAATGAGTAGTTATATAACTATAAAGAAACCTTTTTGAGTAATTTGATTGAGGTAGCAGATAATTTTGCTTTAACAAAAAGGTATCGATTAAAAAATGCTATGAAAAAATTAATCTTAATTATAGTACTCTTTGCAGGTTATTTTATTCTAATTTATTTTAATTTATTTTGCACAAATTTGTATTTTTCCTAATTAGTAGATATGAAAATTGTATGGGCTTGTAATTCCAATTTTTGAACATGTGTTTTTATGTATTCAGATATGTTAAAAGAAATACAGAAATAAAAGAAGAAGAAACTGTTTTCTACAAGAAAATTATTTACTGTAGCAAGTAAAACATTTGAAGCAGTATATTACCACCTTCTCTTAAATGTGTTAAGGACTGACTGTTGTAAGTTAAAGATCTATTGATTTTGATATGTCCAATATAAATAATAAAAAAGTTTCCAGTAACTGGATTAAAAAAAAGAAACAAAATGGATGTGTTGTTTTTAAAGAGGAATTCTTTAAACATTTGAATGTCAAAAAAATGCTCTCTGTCAAGGAAAACATCGTTCAATATTTACAATGTATAAAATTTTTACTAAATTAGAGGGTATTTTAGAGAATTGTGCTTAGGAGAAACTGAACTTGGCAATAGCTGGAATCTTGATAAAGCAGCTACAAAACATTTACAAAAATGAAACAAAACTGTCACCGAAAAAAACATCAAGCAAGTTAACTCTGTGACAAGTGGAGAATGTGGAACTTTGGTATTTTTTCATAAGTGCTGCAGGTACTACCATTCCACCTGCAACAGTATTCCTAAGGAAAAAGTTTTAAACAACATATGAGTCGCCAAGGAAAATCCATTTTTACTTATATTTTATAATCACGAGAGTAACTTATCTATAAAAGCTCTTGATCTTGCAAAGAATAATGATGTTATTATTCTTACTATACCATCACAAAGTAGTCACAAAGTGCAGCCCATAAATGTTTTTGTATTTGCTTCATTCAAAGTTTACTAAAATGATGCAGCAAAATCTTGGCTTCTAAATCATCTTGGATTGCCAATCATTATTTACGAAATTGCATGTTGAGTTAAGTATGAAAAAGGTTTTACTATCACAAACATTCAAAGCATATTTAAGAAAAGTGGAAGATTTCCTTTTGACAAAAACCTATTTTTAGAATCAAATTTTTATGTAGTGTTGTTACTGATAGAAACAATCCAAATACATATCAAATAAACACTTAAGAAAAGCTTCAAGAGCTTTTTGTCTGTTCAGAGATGAGTACAAGACGAAGCAACGATTCTAAATCAAGTACATGATAAACCAACAATTCGGATATTGTAAATTTTTATAAAAATTTGGAAATTGTAATTTTGTAAAAAAAGTATAATAGCAATAGTTTTACACCAACAAAAACATGAAGTAAAAAGAAAAGAAAAGAAAGATAAAGAAATCTTAAACAAAAAATAAATAAAAGTAGAAATCTTGTTTTTGAAAGTGATTTATAAAGTAATGAACATTATTTCCAACATTTGATTGTAATAATGAATTTTCATTGTAATAATTTTTTGTGCTGTTTTTCTACATTTTATCATTTTTTATGGACCTGTTTCATGGTGCCCCATTGACTGTATCAAGTTGAGGAGGCTACTTCTTTTGTTTTTATTTTATTACTTTTTTAAATTTCATTTTCCAATTTTTATTGTGAATAAAATCCTCACTCATCTCTTTAAATCTGAAAGACAAACCTTGATAAACAAGGTTGCTAAAAAAAAGACAACCAGGGACATGGTGGGGATCACACTCGGAACTTCTTGCATAAAAAGCAAGCACTCTACCGCTACACTATTACTTATAACTTTTTACAACATCTTATATTTTGTTAAATTAAGAATTTATTTTAAAGTTATAATGTTAATTTAATTTATAATGTAATTATTCATTTTATATATTAGATATATAATATTATATAAAATAAACAATAATAATAATAAGATAATATTTAAAACTAGCATATGTCACTGCAAAATTTGCACATAAACCAGATCTATTTTTACCTATTTTAACACCATTCATATATCATTCAGTTATCACCATTTATCAAAGGACATGTTAAAATAGATTTTTTTTATTATTACTCATTTAAACTCATTTCATGTACTTAAACTCAATTCCTTAATAATTTTTTATTCAATATATATATATATATATATATATATATATATATATATATATATATATATATATATATATATATATATATATATATATATATATATATATATATATATATAAGTATAATTGAGTTAAAGTAAAATTGAATTAAAGTAAATGCAAAAGCTGATTTTATTTAATTTATTGAATGTACTTTTTTTTTTTTTTTTTCTTTTTGCAGCCACTTATCTTTATTTATGTAACTATTATTATATTTATATATTTATTAAAATTTAAACTTTATATACAAAATAACTTACATCAATTTATCAACAATATCTTCAAAACTATAAGCTTTAATCCTATGATGTGTATCTGAAGCAAGTACTGTATTTTCATTTATAACATGCAAACAATTTACTCTAACTCCATCCCAAGATTCCAATATATTTCCATCCAAGTCCTATACAAATAAAAGTATTAGAGGAATTCATTTTAAATGTTATCAATAAAAAAAAATATTTGGAGGTGGATTTAAAAAAAATCATTTGGAATTTTATTAGAAGACTTTTTATTTTAAAATGTTGTAAAATTTCATTAACTTTTATCTAAAAAAAAATAACATAAATAAACTTTAGATTCAAAAGTACTCTGTTTTGATGAATCAAAGTTTAATGAATTAACATATAATTAATGGTTAGTGGCATTACACATCTTACACATCAAATGTACATAACAAGCTTGTGTTATTTATAAATTAAATATAAATCATATTAACAATAATATATAATTTATTTGCCGATTTATCAATATAAGGGTCTTTTTTGAATGACTTCAAATAATCATAAAATATACTGTTTTTTTACTTTGCTGAGAGAAATTTTAGATGGTCGGTCTAATTGAAAAAGCTGTTTTTAAAACCAATTTATTAGAATGATTTATTCAATTTTATTCAAATTTTATTCATATATGTAAATGTTAGTGGTAACTGTTATTGCGGTAACTGTTTTGAGGAACTAAAGGGTGGATCTGGTAGAAACAATTCTTAGGTGAGAAAATAACTGAAAAACAACAGTTATTTTAGACTTTGCCTAAAAAAAGCCTCTTTAAAAGAGCCAGCCCAAATATGACAACAATTCCAAACTAAGATAAATAAGAGAATAACAACTGAGATAATAACAATCTTGTTTGGGTTAAAACTGACCTGCCACTGCAAGCTCAAGTTTATTATTAATAAACTTGATATATTTAGGCTAACTTAATTAGTGCAAATCAATCAGCCTTTTTTTGTGAAAAAACAATTCCGCACTGTACAGTACCTGGCACCAATTCCATATTTTTAATATGGAATTGGTGCCAGGTACCTGGACTTGGGCCCAGTTTTTCTTCTGGGTACATGGAATCAGGGACTCAGCATAAACTGGTCTGGCACATCTCTAATTCTATCATGGGTTTGTGAACATGTAGAAATAGTTTCATTCTAGATCACCATTGAAGACCAAAGATAAGCCTTTAAAAAATTAATTCTCAAAAATTATTTCTAGAATCAGATATTTTGCCAATGACTTAAAGCAGTGAATTTTAGAATTTTCCTTTAAATGTTAGAGCACAGAGGCTAGTTTTTAGACTGGTCAACCTGTCACCACGCAAAGCTTCATAAATGAAATATTTTATAACCTGTATACGGAATATTTGAAACAAGAACACCTTTTATTCTAAAGTAAAACATTTTAACAAACCTGAACATTTTTAAAGTTTGTATCCATTTGTTTTCCACTAATATAGGAGGCTTGGTATTTTCATTCACATAAATGGTAGGGAAATTGAAACCATTTATGCATATGAAACATAAACCAGTTTAGTTTTTATAAGATAAATTTAAAACACTCTTAGTGACTTGGTAATCCTTAACCAAAATACACAGCAGTTCTTAGAATTGAAGTAAAAAGGTCAATATTTCTCTGTTGATTTAGTTCAGAAGAATTTATATAAAAATTCATTGCTTTTTTAGAAACATCCAGTTATTTTTTTAAATCTTGATAAACTAACATATAAATTGAAATCTGAACAAAAGATACTTTGAAATGCATACAGGGTAGTCACTCAAATTTGAAAATGAAATTCCATGACTTTTCCATGACTCTTCATAAACTTTTACGACAAAGCACTAACGAGTAAATTACTCTGTACTTTCCATGCACTAGGCATTTGCAACTTGGTCATTATAAAACATGCAAACCAAAAACTCATTAGTAGAAAGCTCTGAAATCATGTCTGAAAAAACTTTTTTTCATTTACTTCTATGATAATCTATAACTTACACTGCAAAAATATCTTTTTCAAAAAGGACTTAGAGAGACATAATAGTACTTTTCTTTGCACCCTAAAAATATCACAAGCAGAAAAGTTCCATGAATTTTCCATGACTTTCAATGAAAGTTTAGGAATTCCATAACATTTTCCATGAGCAAACAAAATTCTATGACATTTCCATGGTTTCCATGACCAGTGGCCACCCTGGCTAAAAAATGTTTTTAAACTTTTTCGCTGCGTCTCTAGGTTCTGCTAAATGTTTGATCATTACACAAAGGTCTAGATTTTTTTCAGACATTTGAAGGTTTCCAACTAACTTTATTTGTTTTAAGTCAACATTATGAAGTTTAGGTTTTACATTACGAAGCTTTTTACATTATGAATATATTATAAACCATATATTTACAAAGAAAATAAATTGAAAATCTCATATATGCCATCTTGTGTTGTTAATGCCAAAATCTTCAAGAGAGCTTTAAAATTAAAATTAGCTTGTTTTATAATTGTGGTTTTATATATAATTTATATTTTTTTGTAATTTATTTTAATATTACAAACTGGTAACTGCATGCTATTATGTAAATAAGATCTTTTACCTCCTTTATCCATTATCTCTTTTTTCCTACCTATCCTTCCTCACTAACCTTTTTAAAAAATTTTTTCACTTTAATTCAAGATTTGAAATATATAAAACCGATACATGATATTAATAATATATCACACAATACGAGATATGATATCACAATATATCACACAATACGAGATATGATATCACAATATATCACACAATACGAGATATGATTATTGTATAATTATTTACGCACAATTATCACATAAAATATTGATCATAAAAAACTTTAGTAAACTAATTTAAATTAATAATTTATAAAAAGTACATACACATTGATAGAACTGACCACGAATTCCACCAACAACAAACCTCTTTGAATCACTGTACCAAGAGCAACATGTTAAACTGTCGTCAGGTGAATGTGATATATGACGGTGAAGTGTTGCAGTCTAATGAAAAAATTGCATTATGCAAAAATTTATATATTGTATATTTAAACGTTTATTTAACGTTGATTGCATACAGTTTAAAAAATAATCTTATTAAATTTAACAAATTAAAATTTATAAAAAAACTGTTGAATAATACTCATACATAAATACTGCAAAATACATACACATACAATTCTGCAAAATACATACACAAGTATGTATGTACAATTAAAATGCCTTTGGAGAAAGAAAAAATTTAAAAAAAATTTCACTAAGTTTTTAAGAAATCTGTTTACTGATGTTCTACAAGACGTCCTTAAAGGCTTACCACAGAGTGGTAGAATATTTAACTAGTAAGTTCAACCACTCCTTCCTTACTGATGTCACAAATAAATATAGGTATTGGTATTACACCTTGAACCTCTAGATTCTGAAGTTTGCTCTTTAACTACTGCGCCATGGCTGTTCTTACTTGTTAATTTTAACATTTTAACCATAAACCTCAAACTATATGAGGGGTTTTATTGTTCCAAATACAATGAGATGGTCATTTTATCTTGAGCAAAACACCCAAATCAAAACACAGTATGAAAATTTAGACAAAATTTATGCACTAAATGATAAAATAGCTTATTTATGATAACTAATTTTTAATTTACGATAATTTATGAAAACTATTTTCTGCATTAAGTATAAAGCTTTTAAAGTAAAGCTTTTCTACATAAAGTTAAAGTGATATGAAGAATTTTTATTATAACTTATCAAAAATATAAAAATTTAAATATTTGTAAATGTAAAGCTTTATATTGAAAAAAAAGGAAAATTAATAATAATATATATAGAAAAATGTATGTATGTGTGTTTATATATATGTGTGTGTAAGTGTGTGTAATTATATATGTATATGTATAAATATAAATAAAAATAAATAAATAATCAGACCGAAACACATTGGTCAATAGTGCAATTTTTCAGTATTTAAGTCTTTATTTTTTGTCAAGAACTTAAGATAATTTATAAGAAGGAAAAATGTGTTAGTTTATTAAAACTGAAGAACAAACTTTGAGATGATTTGAGAGAAGAAAAAGAGTACTATTTTTTTAAAATTAAAGATTTGAATAGTTGTTTAACATTCAAAAACAACTGAGTTTAAAAAATTTATAACCTAATATAAAATCCAAAATGAAACTCAGTTGATAGATGTTAAGGACTATGGTGCTGATGTTTAACAAAATATTCTTTAAGTTTAAAATTACACACAATACTCAAAAAAAGCAATAGAAGTTAATTAACAGTCAATATTCAAAATGCAATAGAACAAAATAAAATGCTTTTCAATTGTAATCCCAAACAGTTTAACTTCAAGCAACAATCTTATCTTTAATAACTAAATTGATTGAAATTATTTAAATATTTTTGACTGAAATTTCTTCCAATTTGTCAAAAATTTTAAATATTTAAACTATTTGATGATATTTATTTTACAATTGACAAAACAAAAACAACCCTCTAAGATATCTCACAAACAGAACATATTATAATTATAGTCTTTAACAAACAAAAAAAAACCGCATATAAATGTTAAAGAATAATCGACCAAAGATTCCTAATGAAAACATTTCAATTACCTCAAAGTACTGCCAATGAAACACCTAGCCTTTAAAAAAAAAGAATGTTGAAACTAAGCTCAATAATGACTTGCATTTTCAAGTAACTATTGAGCCTTAACACATCTGCAGGCGTTAAGGTCCACAACTTTTGTCTTTCTCAATCTCTTACTCAAATAGTCAATTTTCCAACACACTTTCCAGACAACTCAAATCATTTACCTTCTCTACTCGACTTATGTCTTGTTTCTGATCCTAGTCAGTGCTCAGTTTCTCCACATTCACCCTTAAGTGCTTCTGATCACATTTTGATCTCCCTAAAACTATTATCTCATTCTTTTTCATCACCAGAATCTCCTTATCATTATACCTCCTACAACTACCTTAAAAAGCTGACTGGGACTCTTTCCATGATTTTTTGAGTGATGGCTCTTGCGTAGAAATCTTGTCTTCCTGCTGAAAAATGTGCTTCTTACATAACTTCTTGGATTCAGGCTGGCATGGAATCTTTTATTCCTTCTCAACAATTTCAAGTCATGCCTCATTCTTTTCCATAGTTTTCCTAACATTGCGCTGCTGCAATTTCTAATCGAAACCATTACTTCCTTATCTATTAGCAAAATAATTCTCCCGAAAACAGACGTTGGTTTACTATTGCAATATAGCTAATTTATTTTAGCTACCTCATTTTTTCTTCAGGTTAATAAAATTAGTTAAAAAAAAACTACTTTTTACGCAATGACATAACTGTCCTTTGGTTAGTAACTTAAAAAAAATATATGTTGTTACAAAACTTAATTTTAAAAACTTGTTGCAAAATTTTATAACATGATTTTAAAATATCCATTCAGAGTTAAGTTAACTTTAGTTTTTGGCAATTAAGAGTGCTTTTTATAATAAACGAACCAAAGTGAAAAACTACAGTCTTAATAACTATCGTACAAATTTTTGAACGAATGAACTTTTAATCTTTATCCTTCTATCTTAGGTTATGCTATATTAAATTAATCAAAAAAATATATTTTTAAAATTATGTTTACTGTAATTATCTCTTCTTTAAATATCTTTAATTTAAAAGGCGTCTTAAAATCACTTTAAAAATTATTAACCTTTAGTAAAAGTTAATTGAACATATTTGATAATATTTAAATCCAAATTTTAAAATAAATATAATAGTAAAAAAAAAACGTTTATTTAATGTTTATGCTTTTTATTCAAATAATTATTTGAGTACAAAACGTAATACTATTTTGTTAATTTAAAAAAAATTGCACAATTTAATATATGTTAATATATTATGTAATGTAAATATTGATTTAAAATGGTTTAAAGTATTTAAACATTTATTTACTAATTATTTAAAAAATTTATTGCTACTAAAATTGAATTTACCAAGATATAGTTAATAAATGTTTAAAATACTTTGAACAATTTTCAATAACTATTTAATAATAGTTTTAATAGTGGTATCTGCAACAAAAGTTTATTAAAGTTTTTAATAAAATAGTTTTCTTATCTTAACTAAAGTAACATTGTCCACCGGTAAATTCATGTAGTAAATTCATGTAGTAATAAACACAAATGATTAAAATAATTAAAAAAATGATGACTAAAACTAAAATACACTTGAGTCCCCTGGCTGGGTGACTATTTAAATCAGTTCATTTTTTAATTTAAAACTTAAATTTAAATTACTCATTATTTAAATTGATTTTTTTGCAGTAGTTTGCTTTTTTACATTTAGAAACGTTGTTGTTGCCAAAGGTAAACTTGTTCTTTTGTTTTCGAAAGACTTTACTTGCTTTTTATCAACGAAATAGCTTTCGATAAAAACTTTTTAATTTAACATAACAGCCTGATTGTTAAAGTTTATTTTCTTTAACTTACATAATTCTGGTTAAATTAGAACGTTGCACTGTGGGACAGAATAGCTTTAAAACTGGACAAGATTAATTTTTTTTTTCTTTTGGAAAAAAAAAATTAATCTTGTTAAACAATTATTTTAAGAGCACTTGTTACTCCATAGATTTTTAAACATTTATTTACAATAGTCAGACAGATTTTTAATGATTTTTTGATAATATAAGTGATAATAAAAAAAAATCAAAAGCTGGCATGAAAAAATATTATCAAAATGTATTCTAACCAGTTCACTAAAATATTTACAGTAATTTAGGTTTAATTAAAAAAGTCACTCAAAAAAAAGTTACTCGAAAACTCGATTAGTTTTATTAATTTAAAAATAAATAAATAAAAAAAAGAATCTCATAACTCAAGTGTTCATGACCTGGTTTCATTAACTGGTTTCTACTGATGTAATAGACACATTTCCTTGAACTCACACTAAAAGGCTCAATAAGTGCAAAAAAAATAGTTTTACAATCTGTAATCGTAACCAATTTTATAAAAAAAATAACGTGGATAAAATGGCCTAGAGACTCCAAAAAATGTTTCATAACCTTTTTTCATTTTCGCCAAATGTCTAGTTTTAAAGCAATTCTGCCCCACTGTGCGGTGGTTTTTGCTTTTTGTAAAGAACGAATAAAAGTTTTGAAGTCATAACTTCTAATAATTAGAAAACATTTTTACTAAATTAAATTATAAAAACTTCTTATATTTATCAAATGCTTTTAATTCAATAATAAACTTTTTTTATTTAATTTGGTTAATACGTTTATTTGAAAAAATTTTGTTTAAATAAGTTTTATACACAAATAAAGTTTAATACACAAATAAAGTTTATTATAAACTATAAAAAATTATTAATCAAATGCTTTTAATTGATTAATAAACTTTTTTTTACTTAATTTTGTTAACAACTACAGTCTTAATAACTATCGCACAAATTTTTGAATGGATGAACTTTTAATCTTTATCCTTCTATCTTAGGTTATGCAATATTTAATTAATCAAAAAAATAAAATATTTTTAAAATTATGTTTACTGTAATTATCTCTTCTTTAAATATCTTTAATTTAAAAGGCGTCTTAAAATCACTTTAAAAATTATTAACCTTTAGTAAAAGTTAATTCAACAGATTTGATAATATTTAAATCAAAATTTTAAAATAAATATAATAGTAAAAAAAAAAACGTTTATTTATCAAATGCTTTTAATTGATTAATAAACTTTTTTTTATTTAATTTTTTTAAAACTACAGTCTTAATAACTATCGCACAAATTTTTGAATGAATGAACTTTTAATCTTTATCCTTCTTTTAATTGATTAATAAACTTTTTTTTACTTAATTTTGTTAACTAACATATTAAAAATTTTAATATACAAATACAGTTTTGTTATAAGCAATATAATAGTAAACATTCCATAGTTATATTCAGGGATTTGGAGTCCCAAAAAAGACTCCAGATTGAAAGTCACAAAAAGATTCCTTCATCCTAGTTTTTGGTTTCCAAGAACTCTAAAAATATAAAAAAGTTTATGGACTACAAATAAGAAGATAATAAAGACTTTTAGGTTAGAGGAACAATCTTTTTTTGAACTCGAAGTCCTCGGACTGTTGCTTAAACTGTTATTATAAATCCTCGGACTTTAGATGTAATGGCGACAAGGACTCCGGGAATACAGGACTCCAAGCTTAAAAACAATAAGTTTCAAATCATTAAATCTCATGGATTTTTTTTCTTATAGCAGATCATAAGTCAAAAAACATGTTTAAAGCTTCTGGACACTACAAACTTGGAAAAAGTAGAGATATAAAGCGTTCCTGGAAAAAGTAGAGATATAAAGCATCCCTGGTTATATTATTAAAAATAATTTAAATTAATGATGCATTTTTATTTTAAAGAATAACTTTAAAAAAACTTTGATTGAAAACTATTTTATCTTTCCAACATCGTTTATTCAAAGTTTAATTACAAAAAAACTTTCTCTCTTTAAAAGAATGTGGTCTTTTAAAGAGAGATAGTTTAACTACAAAAACTTTTTCTCTCTTTAAAAGAGAGAAAAAAAACTTTCTTTAAAAAATTTTTTCTTTAAAAGAGTACAATCACTTTAAAATTTTAAAGTGAGTCTACTCTTTTAAAGAAAAAAGTTTCTTTAAAGTTCAAATGTTTTTTAAAAAACTATATTTAAAAGTTGTTAAAGTCACATTTCTCATTTAATCAAACTTTAATTACATAAAATGTAAAATGTAAAAATGTAAGTAAATAAAAAATACCAAGACGTTTTAAATGCTACTTTATAAATGCATCAATAGTTTTCTTACAATAAATATCATAACCGCTCATACAATAAATATCATTACATATCATAACCGCTAAAGTTAAAAAAATAAAAATAATCTTTTTTATAATTTTATATTCATCAAATATGAAAATACAATTTTATTCCTAGTGAAAATACACACTTTAAAAAACTTGTTTAAGACATATATAAAACTTTTTATCTTTTTTATGATAACGGATGTCTTATATCTTATCTTTATAACTTTTTATCTTTTTTATGATAACGGATGTCTTATATCTTATCTTTATAACTTTTTATCTTTTTTATGATAATGGATGTCTTATATCTTATCTTTATAACTTTTTATCTTTTTTATGATAACGGATGTCTTATATCTTATCTTTATAACTTTTTATCTTTTTTATGATAACGGATGTATATATATATATATATATATATATATATATATATATATATATATATATATATATATATATATATATATATATATATATATATATATATATATATACATGTATGTTTATATATATATATATATAAAATCACTTACTAAGGCTGATTTAAAATTTGAAATCCATTAATCTCCATCACACACCTCTTTTTAAAAAAATTATAATTTGTTTTTGGATTTTTAAGATTTTTTTAAAAACTTTTTTTTTTGAAAACATTGAATTTTTAAAATATTTTTTTACTATAGTACACTTTACAGTATACCAACTATAAAAAAACAATTACACATTTATTACTAACAGTTTCTATGAGCACTAGATGTGTTTATTTTCTGCAGAAGATTCTATGAGCACTAGATGTGTAGGATTTTCTGCAGAAGTCTGTTGAATTTGCAGGTAACAGTTTTTGTATGTAGTGCTTTCTATTAAGACAAGTTCTTGGCGGAATTGCTTTCTGTGCTTATCACTTACATCACCTATATTGTCAGAGAAAAATAGTGCTAAACAAAATTTTGACTGCCTTAAAGGCAAAGAAATTAACAGTATTTTGTGAATCCTGACTGCAGGCCAGTCAAAATAGCAATCAGCTTTGTCACTCAACACAGATGGCAAATTTGTTCTTATCAAAGCAGATTCACTGTAAAATTTTGTTCAGAGTTTGTATAATAATAAATTCCTCTCATTGTGACAGAATAAGCAACAGGGAAAGATGGATGTATACTTCCATTGTATAGAAGAACAGCTTTTATGCATGTTTTAAATGCATCAATTAATAGATGCTGTTCTTGGTGTTATAGTGTTCTTGGTGTTATTAATACCAAATTTGTTGAGCAGAGAAGAAATATCATTACAATACAATAAAAATCTATACTCATAGAAAATAACGATATCAGGTCAGCAGCTTGCTTCTGAAAAGATCTAATTTTTAATTCAGCTTTTAATAAACTCCACCCTTAAAGTCAAGATGCCACTAACTCACTTTGATTTTTTGTTAGTTGAAGGTCTTAAACTAGGTTGTTTAAGACCTTCAACTAATTGCCATCATCACTGCTGCATTTGCTACAGTCGATGTCAGAGAATAACATGGGCTGGATGTTGGAACCGGCCAAACAGCTGATAACATTATAGAATAAAAAAGACATTATACAACCCTGATGAACATCTCACACAACAAACATGCCTTTAAACTGAACTATGATTATGCTGTTTGCCAACAGCATAATAATAGTACAGTTTAAAGTGCTTTTTGAGTTTGTTAATATTTTTTTACTGTATATTCAATAGTTATTTAGATGATTCATGTCACCGGGAGAAACCATAATAACATACAAACAATAATGATGAGATCTCAGAATAAAATACCAGAAATTTGTTTATACTTTTTGAAAGAGAAGAACAATAAGCAATGTGTAAAACAAGTAAGTAAATTAATTAATGCAGCAATCAGTATTAGGGTCAGCATTCAACAATGCCAACCTAGAAGTACTTAAAGTTGGAAAAAATATCTGCCCTTGTTTCTGTTGTATGGTAAAACCTTTGCATTAATTTTTTTTTTGCCAACTTAATGTCAACTTAACAGATTAAGGTCAGCAAATTATTGCCGACCTTATTTTTTCTAATTCCGAGGGCTGATGTGTATACACAGAATTAAGTTACAATATCCTTGACATGTTATACAAAGGAAATCACAATATTTTAGAAAAGTGGTAAATGATTAATTAACTGACATTATCTGACTTCAGATTTAAAATCAGTACAGTTGAATTAGTATACAAAAGATATTGACTTTTATGAATTTTTTTATAACTCGAAATTTATTTACAGTGTCATTAGATAAATTTTTATATACTAAAACATTTTGCATTATTAGAAATAATTTTGTAAGTAGTTTTAAAAAAAAAAAAAAACTAAAGTATGAATAAAACTAAACAATACCTGAACCTGCCACAACCATATTTCACAACAGTCTTCTGGGCCACAGGCTATTAGATAAACATCATTTGGGCTCCAGGCTAAATATGAAATACCATAAGAATGTCCATTGAGAACATGCAATTTTTCTAAGCCTGAACTCTAAAATTAAAAATTTATTTGAATTATTTAAATTAAAAAAAAAAAAAAAAAACTAAATGTATAAAGTAAATGAAAGTGAAAGTACTCACTTTTATTACTTGTCGAGTTAAAAGAGAATAAAATGAAAACATAATAGTTTTTTGCTTTACTTGAAAAAATAATTTTTCTTTATCATTTAAATAAATTTTTTTTAAAAAGTGACAAAAAAAAAAATGTTTTTCACTTAGCTAATTATTAGAATTATTTATTTCTACAACAATTTAGCATATATCAGTAATGACTTGGTATGACCAGGCTAAATTCCATACTAAACTAGAAACACATATTGAGAACCCACAAAAAAGTTATTTCCAGTGATGTAATTTATTTAAAATTTATAATTTTCAAATATAACAATATGTTATAGACTGTTCTTAGAATAATTTATCCAATATCTATTAAATAAAAAACAATTTCTAAGTTTACAAAGCAAACAAAAATTAAATACCTTAACCTCCCATATTATAACCTTCATATCTTTAGAACCAGTTGCTAAATATTTTCCGTTATTTGAAAACCGTAAAAATAGAACCTAAAATTTATATATATATATATGTATGTATATATATATATATATATATATATATATATATATATATATATATATATATATATATATATATATATATATATATATATATATATATATATATTAGAGTATGCTAAACGCCCCTCATTTTTGAAAATCAAAAGGCACTGTTTTCCATGTGGTGTGGGTATACTCAAGAATTTTGGACCATGAGGTTTGACCCGGTTTCCTTAAAAATTAACTGGTTTTTACAACATTTTTAATTAACCAGTTTGTTTATTTTACTAAGATTGCAATTATTTTAGATGTCTTATAAAAATAAAGAAGTCATAGAAAAATCGTTGAACAGTTTTAGTTTTAGATAATTATGGGAAAAGACACAAGATCAAAATAAAAAGTTTTTTCGATAAATGATATTATTGAAATACTACAATCATCTTAATTGCCTACTGGACAGCAAGTTTTGTAATATTTACATGGCAAACTATTCAAAGCAAGAAAAGAAAATTTAAAAAATAGACTCTGTGATATGGTTTCTTGCAAATGTCCACATGGGAGTTTTGAAATCGGTTGCAATAACCCTGGAGGGTGTAATTTTCTTGAAAGCACATGTGTTGTTTCGTCACTGAAGAAAATCTGGAAAAAAAGTGCAATCCCAATAGCAGCTGACCAACATATTAGGTAAATAATAATTGTTTACACAGCATTTATTTATTTTTAAAACTAAAACTAAAAGAATCTTACTGTAAGAATAAAATGTTGTTTCTTTATATAGAAGTAAGATATTGTGCTTGGAAGATCGTAGAAAGAAACTATCAAAGAACAAATTACGTGACACACCACACAATTTAAGAAAAATAGACGCTTACAAACTTGAAATAAAACGCTTATTTGATATTAGTGTGAATGATACACAGCAAAAAATTCTATTAAATAAGCAAGTCACTAAAAAGGAAAGAAATATCGATATAAACTTATTAAATGATCAACGAGGAGAACGTAAATCTGTCATGGGTGGAATAGACAAGAGGTACTTATTTGCTGCTCGTAGAAAGCAAAAGGGGATTGAATTTACCAATAACAGAATGACTACTTCAAATAGTAACAGATTAGCTTCTGAATTTATAACCAATTTAAATTTAAATCAGGTTAGAAATAGCAGCGTAGAAGCACAGAACAAAGAGGATGATCAAGATTTTGAATATCAGAAGGACTGCAAACCAAGATCTTATAAAAGAAAACTAGATGTTGTTGAAGTTATGCTACCTAGAAAAATCTTAAAGGCCACAGCTGTTACAGCAAAGAGATACAGTATTCAGAGTTCAGCGCATACCGCTACATTGGCTAATGTCATCAACTCAGCAGGCGGATATCTAAAGGACTTTGATATTTCTGTTACGTCAGCAAAGGTTCATTCAAGTGCTGTAATTAGTGAATATGGTTTAAAAATTAAAGAAGATTTTATTGTAAAAGTCAAGGGGAAACTACTTTGTGTTTATTTTGACACAAAAATAGTAAAAGAGTATTTTTATGGTGCGAATAATAATGTTGAGCGGTTAGCACTAGTGATTTTAAGTCCTAGTATCGATAAAGAACAACTTATTGGAGTTCTTTCTACCACAGATAGTCGTGGAATAACACAAGCAAAAGCAATTAAAGAAATACTGGAATCTTGGAATCTCTGGGATTCGGTACATAGTGTATGCTTTGATACTACATCTTCAAATACAGGTGAGAAAAATAAACTCAATAAAATAATAAAGACATTTTATGACATTTTGTATTATGATATTTTTGTATTTTCATAATTTTTATTATAAAAATTTCACATTAGATAAATGAATTAAATTAAGGCTGGATGCAGGGTGCCTGTGTATTGCTAGAAAAATGGCAGAACAGACCATTACTATGGTTTGCCTGCAGACATCACATATACGTGCTTCATATTAAAGTTAGAAATAGAACTATTAAATAATTTTATTCTTGGTTTACTCATATAGCCTTTTCCTAATCTCATTTTTCATTATCTAGCATGCAGCACTTGCAGTTTCTGGGAATATGTCTGATGGACCAGTTGATAATCTTTCCAAAAAAATTCAAAATTTCTGGAAAACTATTAAGCCTGGCATAAATTTGAACAATCTTAACATGTTTGAATGGAGCAAGAGATAGGGAACATTTTTAGAAGAACAGGTAAGGAGAATTGCATATTTCTTTTTTCTGAAAATTTTTAAAACATAATAAACTTATTTGCATTATATTTTTTCAAAGGCTCTAAAAACCAAAATATATCTTGAATACGCCTTGTTTACAGAAAAGTTTTCTCATGGTGACTATAAGAATTTAGCTGAACTTATTTTGGTTTGGCTAGGCAGTGATAAACTTGGAAATTTTAAGTTTCATAAACCTATAGCTTTTCATTATGCAAGATTTCTTTCAAAAGCTACCTACTACATGACAATAGAACTGCTTACATTTCATTTGTAACAATTTGATATAATTAGGGAAGAAGAAATAGCAACAGTCCCTCAAATTACTGAGTTTATTGGGCTTTTTCATGCAAGATGGTTTCTGAAAACACCATTGGCAGTTTCTTCTCCTTGTTTAGATTTATGTGCAATCAGGGATATGACCAAGTATGGATCATTTAACAAAACTGTGTCAACTGCTGCTATTAAAAGTATTAAAAATCACTTATGGTTTTTTACAGAACCAAATGTTGTGTTTGCTCTTTGCAACGAAACACTTGACAATAACATTAAAGAAAAAATTGCCAAAAAGCTATTTTTATATCCTAGACCTTTAAAATTAACATTGGAAAAACCACATTTTCTAAATATTAACATAAAAAAATTCAAGAGTTATGGCAACTGGTTGGACCTCAAAGTTGGATTCTCATTCAGCAGCTAAATTTATCTGTAATAGAAACAGAATGGATGCAAGTTAGCTCCAAGTAAATATTTCTCATAAATTATTTCTTATGTTATTTTTTGGCATTTTTAAAATATTTAAATATAACTATTTTATTTTAGAGATTGGAATAATTTCTTAGGATATCGAGCTCTGAAAACATTCTTAGAAAAATTAACAGTAGTAAATGATTGTGCTGAGAGAGGAGTAAAGCTCATCCAAGACTTTACACACATGTGCCAGGATGAGGAATCACAGACAAAAGTTTTCAGTCAATTCCAAAAAGAATTTGTCAGAAATTCTTTAACATGCAATTGTTACATGAAATTGTTTATGTGATTATTAAATATCAAAATATAT